CCCGGCCACCCCTTCCGGCCCGTTGCCCCGGCCCGGCCACCCCTTCCAGCCCGTTCTCCCGCAACTTTTTAGGCTGGCGTGGGGCGGCCTTGGCTGCAGCATGCGTTAACAGGTTGAGGGGAATTTTTTCCAGAAAAGCTGGCAAAGTTCCTTCCCTCTAATGTAGGGTTGCCGAATAAAATACAGGACACCCAGTTAAATTTGAATTACAGATAAATTTTTGAGTATAAGTCTGTCCCATGCAATACTTATACTGAATTGTTTAAAATGTCATTTATCTGAATTTGGATTTAACAGGACCTACTGTATTTTGTTACATCCAGCAGCACTACCCCAACGTGACTTTTGTCTAAAATGGCTTTTCTGCTTCTTAAACCACTTGGCTTATTTCCTATGCATGGGCTCTTTACGGGCATAGGTGAGACCTGTAAGAGTCCCAGCTACCTCGTGAATCAAGTCTTCCGGGTGAATGTTAAAAGCCAGTGTTGGGTTTACTCTTTCTACCCCATGAGCTCCCTGCTGGGCATAGGCTGGCAGCACCCAGCAGTTCTGGAGTCAGACTTTCCAGTGGACGATGGCCGTGTCTCACCTGCTCCCCCACAGAACTGGATTTTAGGAGGCTTCTCAGTGGGAAACTTTATCAGGGAAGGCTGTAGCATCCTCTCTCTTTGGTGTCGCAGTTGCCATCAGGGCACTTGTCCCAGGAGGATGGATTTAGCTGGATTCGTGGTATTGGTTAATACTGGGTTTTGTCGGGAGCCCCGGTCAACAGCTCATGGCTCTCTGCCCCTGTAGATTGCGTTGGCTCCTTATCAGCACTTGGAAGAAGACATGAAGAGTCTGAAGCAGGTATTAGAGATGAAGAATCAGCAAATACATGAGCAGGAAAAGAAGATTCTCGAGCTGGAAAAGCTGGTGAGTTGGTCCGTTTGCTCGCGAGAGTAACTAACCTCCATGACATTCCTGCTGTCATCACGGAGGTCATTGTTGACACTGAGGTGTTCAGCCAGGTGTGTCTGTTACCTGCCCATTGCTTACACCTATGCAGAAAATCCCACCGCGGGCCTTTCCCAGGAAGCCAGGAGCTCTCATAAGGAATCTTGGAGGTGGCCTTATCTTGTCCAACTCTGGAGCCTTTCTGATGGGTGGCCTCCTTCTGCTTTGCGCTGGTTTTCCCACAGTCCTGCTGTCTCCTGGCCCTCTCTTGGGGATGTGTAGTGACCCAGCACAATGCAGCATCCCCAGTGCCCAGGCACTGCACGGAGCACTTTCCCCGAGCCTGCTCCTAACTCCTACAGCTGCCTGTGGAGGAGCTGCCGCCCCCAGCCGCTTTACAGATGCGGAGATGGAGCTAGGAGTCCTGGCCCAGTGCTTCGGGTCCTCACAAGGCAGAAGGGGCCAGGGATCTCCCTGGGGCCCTTTTTATAAGGGTATTAATCCCATTCACAGGGGCTCACCCTCAGGACCTAATCCCCTCCCCAAAGCTCCGCCTCCTAATACCATCACTTTGGGGTTAGGTTTCAGCATAGGAATTTTCGGGGACACAAACATTCAGTCCAGAACAGAGTCCTTGCTCTCACCCACACTCGTCCACCTCAGCCCACCAGCCTGGCTCCTGCAGAGCTAGTAAAGGGGAGCACAGAACACCCAGGATTTCACACAAGCCCCCAGCCAGGGCTAGAGTCCCAGAAAGGTGTGCAAAGGGAGTGGAGGAGAAGCCTCCTTCCAAGGGCAGCCCATCTTGATCTGGAAGTTGGCCCCAGGATCTCAGATTCTTATTTTTTCCCTTTATTATTGTTACTTTAAAAATAAACTTCTGATACTATCAAAAGGAAATATGTGGGCCGGGCGCGGTGGCTCAAGCCTGTAATCCCAGCACTTTGGGAGGCCGAGACGGGCGGATCACGAGGTCAGGAGATCGAGACCATCCTCTACTAAAAAAATACAAAAAACTAGCCGGGCGAGATGGCGAGCGCCTGTAGTCCCAGCTACTCGGGAGGCTGAGGCAGGAGAATGGTGTAAACCCAGGAGGCGGAGCTTGCAGTGAGCTGAGATCCGGCCACTGCACTCCAGCCTGGGCGACAGAGCAAGACTCAGTCTCAAAAAAAAAAAAAAAAAAAAAAAAAGGAAATATGTGTACTGTGGAAAATTATGAAATAAGATAAACAGAAAATAAGCAGATTATAGCATCATATTCCTACCAATGCTTATACTTTCCAGAACTTTTTCTCTGTAAGGCAGTGTCTGCACACACACACGTGTGCGCACACACACGTACTGTACCATGTGTTTTATACCCTTAGCTTGCCATGTCAGGCAGAAACTGATCATAACATCGAATTTTTAAAGCTCCCCATTTGTGAAATGTCCCTTGCATCTGTACAACCAAACCAGGGGCTGATCTAGGGCCACCCATTACATTTGGTGGCCATGTTGCCTCTCTCTCTGGAAGCATCCCTTTTTGCAAACATCTCTTGCTGCACGAGTGCTTCTCAGTTAATGGGGGCAGACCAGGTGATGCTGGATTGTCGCCAAGATTCTGGGCGATGCTGACCACTCTGCACCCTCCAGCAGCTCAGGACTTCCCAGCTCAGGCCAGGCCTAGGGCTGGCAGGGAGCTACAGGACAGCGCCTGCCTCAGCCGAACCCTGCCTTGCAGCCTTGCCAGTGTGGGGACCAGCTGCTCTGAGAGCAGCCACCCTTCCTCCCGCTCCTGGCTTGGCCACTTGCATTGGGTCACCAGCAAACCTCTGGGTTTACTTGGCTGATTTTAGCCCTGCTTGAGGCTTTCTGCCTGCCCGTATGGCTTCTCATCCCAGAAACATTTCCAGGCAAAAAGGAACCTACTTGATCACTTCATCTCCTGGGAGCAAAAGTGAGGGCTGGGTGAGGGGCCTTGCGAAAGAGGGGGCCAGAGGCCAGTCGTGGGGCCAGGATTCCGAAGTCCTGTTCATGGACTAGGGACCGTTTTCTTTACAGATTAACTACATTAACAGTGAACGTGTCACATTCTTTTCGGAAAAGAATTTATTTCTAAAGTGGTCTTAGAATCGAACTGTACTTCAGCCAGGTCTCAGGCCCTCGAGGACATGCTAACAGAGGAAAAGCATCCATTACTGGGGAGTAACAGCCATGGCATGATGGGATTTGGGGAATGTACCCAGCTGCTCTCCGGCTTTGCATTGCTGGCTGCCCGTAGCCTCTAAAGGAAAAAGCGTGCTTACGTTCTTTAGATGCCTGCCTCCGTTGATTCAGGATGGCGTGTCGTGCACGGACGGCTGGCCAGGGATGCTGCCACGGTGTGGTTGACACTTTGGGAAGAACCATGAGCCCCAATAGTCAAACGAGGTCCTAGTGGTATTCATGGTTCCTCTCTGACAATGGCAAGGGCCTGGGGACACTCACTATAAGAAATACATTTTACATCAGAAACACACACACACTCACACATAATATATATAAAATAAAAATACCTGAAATTTGCTACATACGGTGCACATGGGCGTTTTCTATGCTGTTTCGTTTAAAGAAGAAATGCTAGTCACATTCCTCTGACCTGATTTTACAACCCACTAATACATTGCAAACTGGTATTTGCAAAATGCTGTTCTTGATAATCCTCCAATGCCCAGAGCTGAGGGCACCGGTTTACTTCCCATTCGATGGCCTTGCTAGAACCTCTTAAACACTGTTTCCTTTATAGGCAGAAAAGAACATTATCCTAGAAGAAAAGATCCAGGTTCTCCAACAGCAGAACGAAGACCTCAGAGCAAGGATTGACCAAAACACAGTTGTCACCAGGTAGGTGGGCTGGGTGTCACCTAGAAAGTGGCTTTCCTCTTGAGCTTCTTTTTGTTGCAGCACCCAGTTTCCCTCACTCTGGGCTGTGAGTCTTTCTCCGCAGTTTCTTGCTGTTTTCCCCCAAGACCTGAAGAACAAGAGCGTGCCCCTGTGGCCATCTTGCCTATTCCTGGCCACGTATCAATGGGCCCCACCTTGGGAGACATGAGTGAATCAGCAAAAGTGTGCGGCAGGGTCCTCCTGCAGCACTGGGAGGGGAAGGGGTTTATTAATGGAAGAGATTAGGAGAGGAGGGCCAGCTGGGTGTTCCCAGGCCAAAAAGAGAGTCACCATTGGTTGATACCGCAACTTCCAGAAATTCACAATTTCCATCCAGGTCTTGCCTGTCCCTGTGGGGCCTCGCTCTGAGGTGCCCCAGCTTTCAAGAAAGGGTGTTCAGGCTCCTCCCTCACACAGCGCAGTGTGCGGATAAAGCAGGGTTTGGCTTCCTCAGCTGCTCTTCCAAGCGGGCTCAGCCATATCAGTAAGACCCAGGCCCGAACCCTTGCCCACTCAACTAGGCTCCTCAGCATTCACCTGTGGTGTGTTACCCTTGCACACGTAACTCGTGCATATGCACACACTCACATGCACTCACACAGGCACTGCATGCTCGCTCACACACTTGCATACTCCCACTCATGCACACTCTCATACACTTATGCACACACTCATACAATCCTCACACCTATTCATATGCCCTCATATTTGCACACTTGTGCACGCTTATCCTCACATGTACATGCTTATTCTCACATGTACATTCTCACACATACATATGCTCTTACACACATGCACGAACGGACACACAGCCATTGCCCCCATAACTAAGCCCCTAGTGCGGGCATTTTGTTCTCAGCTCAGAGGCACATAGGAAAGTCTGTGCTGGGGGCAGCAGTCTCCCTTTGCTCCGGAAGCTGCCAAGGTGCCCTGTCAGCAGAGCAAGTGCAGACTTTATCCAACAGAGCTGATTCTTCTGGACCTCGGTCTGTCCAGCTTTAAAATGCATATGTACTTGTTCCTGTCAGTTCCTCAAAGGTGCTGTCATTCTTCAAAAATGCAACAAAGCAAGCAACTTAGATTCATTTTTTCACCCACCAGTCTTTATCAGCAAATATTAACTGAGCATCTGTTATGTGCCTGGCACCAGCTGGACGCTGGGGGCTCAGCATGCAGACAGAGCCTTGGCCTCTGTCCTCCGGAGCTCCCAGTCTAGCAGGCGGACACAGACCCCTAGCGCAGCATGTCCATCAGGGGAGGATGCTGCTGTCGTGTAGGCACAAGCCTAGGGCAGGGAGGCCAGGAGAAGGCCCCCCCAGCTTCCCGGCAGGCTCAGGAAGGCCTGCGGCTCGTCGCTGCTCTTGTGCTGTTGTCATTGTCAATTGCCAGCTCCACGGCTGTCTCTCCTTTCGGAGCCTCCTGGCAGCACACCCACTCCAGCTCTCCACTTCCCTCCTTTCAGTCGCTGGCCTTTGCTCTGTCCAGTGGACAGCCAGTGCCCCCGCTGACCAGGCAGAGGGCCTGTGAGATGATGGCTGTTGGCCAGAGAGGCTCTGGGAACAGATGTGTCATTGGGCTAAATGGAAATCATGATTCCACCAAAGTTCTCGGTCACTGGGTCGCCCTGGTCCCTGTTCTCCCTGAGGGCATCATGGCCTCCTCCCTTTGTCCTGCACCCATTGTCGTGACCTCAGGTTCGGTGTCCACTAGCATGATTGCTACTTGTTTTGTCATTGTGCCCATGCAGACAACTGTCCGAGGAAAACGCTAACCTCCAGGAGTATGTTGAGAAGGAAACCCAGGAGAAGAAGAGATTGAGCCGAACCAACGAAGAGCTGCTTTGGAAGCTCCAAACTGGGGACCCAACCAGCCCGATTAAACTCTCGCCCACATCTCCCGTTTACCGCGGCTCCTCCTCGGGGCCCTCCTCTCCGGCCAGAGTCAGCACGACACCCAGATGACGCCACTGCGCGGCCTGCGGGAGCTCCGGCTTCTCGTCCTCCAGTCTCCACCCCGAGGGCGCACCGAGCCGGTGCCGCCGGAGCTGGCCCTGTGCGCATGCTCAGTAGCTGCGAATGCATCCTAGGCGCGTCCTCCTCTGATCCCCGTGTAAGACTGCCCTGGTGTCGGCACTTAGGAACGTGTAAATGGTAAAGTCTGATGTGCAAACGTTTTACCATAGTTAGAGCCAAAAGAAAGACACTTGCAATTGTTCTTGAGCAATGAACTTTCACTGCAGAATTTCAGGTTAGTTACAAAAAGCTCAGTTTTCAATATACATTGAATAATCATTGTGTACTGCACCGATATGTGTGTATATTTAGATATACGTATATACACATGCTGCGGTTCTCAATTTCATTTTTTATAATATGAAGTGCTGACATATTTTAGTGAAGGTCAGCAGTTTTCTAACTTGTGCCTAAGAATTATTGGGAAATGAAAATGCATTTCTATCTAGCTTCCCAGGAATATTTCTACCCAAAATAGAAAAAGGAAAAAAAAATAAAAAAGATACAGAGAAGAAGCGCCTTTCAACTCACCACCAAGTGGTACTCTCTTTAACACGAACACCAGCTATTTGTGAACGGTAACTGCCTTTGGAACAATCAGCTTCTTAGTCAACATGACGTGAGATCACTATTACTCCATTCGCAAGTTTTCATTATCGAGACTCCTGTCATGAGCGGCTGAGGGACAGCAGTGGGAAACCCGAAGGGGGTTTAACAGTTCTTCAGATGTTTCTCATGACAGTGACTCATCTCTAACAGTCTTGTAAACACAGTTTTGCTTTTTTCCTAAATGGCATCTCAGACTCGGTCATTAAGCTATTGTTGCACCCTCCGGAAAACAGGTTGCACCCTCCGGAAAACCTTTGAGTGAGAGTGAGGATGACCCTGGAGATGACCGCGCCCATTCGCGCTCCATCCTCATGAAGGAACTTGCTGCTAGGGTCTGTATTTTGACCAGGCACAGAGGGGGACAGCACTCCAGCTTTCCATGTGGTTCACTCTGACGCGATGCCGTAAATGATCAACTCGTTGAAATAGGACCCTCAGGCCCCCATTTCATAGCAGCCCCCACTTCAGTTTGGTTCTACAACTCAGCCCCTTCACTGCACACTGAGATGGCTCAGGGGTTCTGGCAGGGGCTTCCAGAAAAAAACACCGTTTCTGTCCCCGGGGGACCAGTTCTGAGCTGTGCTAGATCCTCACACGACCACCCAGAAACCCACTTCCACCTCCTGCTGGATGATCAGGCAACGCTGCTGCTGACCGTGCGCCCATCTTAGACCCAGAAGGTTCTCCCAAACAGAGGAGCCCAGTGAAACAGCCAGCCAGGGGCCACCAGCTCCTGGACTGGCATCTGTCTCTAAAATGGTAGAATTAGGATATGAACAGTACTCATGTAGTGGTGTGGAAGATTAGGAGCATGATACACAAAAGGAAGAAGTAGTTTTAACATATATGGTGATGATGATGATGCGCTTGTTTCCTGTATGCGACAAAGACCCTGCACTTTCTCCCTGAGGCCCCCCAAAATTGTCCTGAGCACAGGCCTATCTTTGAGTGTGCCCAAGACGAGAAGAACCATGAGGGGATCCTGCAGGGGCCGGAGCCATGGAGCAGGGAAGAAACAGCCAGCGGACGGAGTCGGCTTGCCCAGGGCGCGCCTACTCGGCACACGTGTGGCCAACATGAAGGCAGACATGGTCCCTGGCCCTAGCCTGAGTCCAAGCTGGGCTTCCGGGCCTCGGGTACATCTCCAGCAAACCTCCAAGGGTCTTGCTCCTTCTGGGGACATACACAGTAAATCCACATGGAAGTGCCACCATTTCTCTTTGCTTTAGTGGCTCTGCATGATACTGTGATACTGAGTTGGGCATTCCATTAGAGTAGATCATGCCACATTGACTAAGTACACAATCATTTATTCTTGTAGCAGGCACAACCTGCAAACACACATTCGGTTCAGCTTAGCTGCCCGAATTAGGAACCGCTTACATAGCCGCACCTGCTAAACGCAGTTACACAGCAATACCGACTTCCGTGTGATGCTAGAACGTGGTACAGTGTGTTAGGCTGCTGTGGTCAGAGTTGTAGCATTGTTAGCACTAAGTAATTCCTCATTAGGTGGACTTTGGTGAGAGCTTTACCCTAACCCACCCTGACCTTGGGTACTTGAGCTAATTTCCACATGGCCCTGGCTTCGTGTTTTTTTTTTTTTTGGCTTTTTCTTTTGTTACGGACACCCATGGTGTATGGCTCCTCATCTGAGCCATCACTGCCCCAGAAACACATGGGGCAGCAGCTGCTGTGCCTCCTCCTCGATTCTTCCACCCCCCACACCATCAGAATTCAGATTTCTCTCCACGTGGTGTCTGCCTCTGTCCCCTTCCAGGCTGGAGCGACATTTCCATGTTCAGATGCTGCAGCCTCTGCACCTGCCTCAGACCGACCCACCAGATACCACCTGTCTTTTTGTGGCATTTGGGGGATGCATGGGCGGCCTGCCCCCCACCCCCGCCCCTGCCCGTCACATGCTGGGACAAGGTTCTAGCTGGATGTTAGAACGGATGGGGGTGGGGACAGACCTGGCAGTGATTGGTTGAATGAATGGGGTCACAACATCCCTTTTCCTGCCCCTACAGTTTCTGTTGCATATTTGTGTTTAACTCTAAAGCCTATTAAAATAAACTTGAGGGACTTTCTGCGATACCTACTTGATTTAACTGGAGTCCTGTCCCTCTCAGGCTGGGGATTCCAGGCAGGGAGGCAAGGTGGGGGGTGGCATTTGCAGGCTGGACCCCTTTTCTGTGTGTACCGGGATTGGGTGATCGTCCATGCGAGAAGTCTAGAGACCCCCTCTCCCCTGACTCAGCAGGTCCCAGGTCCCTGCGCCCACCCTTCCAGCCTGGGGGCTTGAGCAGCCCCTCCCCTGGACGTGGGAGCACAGTGCCTCTGCTCTGCAAGGCTGGGGTGTGCTGGAGTTGGCTGGAAAGAGAACACAAAAGGTCATTCATTCATTTCGACCTCAAAGTGCTTGCTCCCCCCATCCCGATGGCCTTCAGTTTGGGCTGCAGCCGGTTTAGCCAGCTGGACCTCAGAGTGTCCCACAGGTGCCTGGCACTGGTCACAAGGGAGAGAGCTGGGCTCGCAGGTTCCCTGTGGTGGTTTTGCAGGGTGTGGGAGTGGCAGCTATTTTAGGGAGATCAGCGAGTCCCTCCTGAACAAGTACTGAATGACAGACCCTTTGTAGAGGACACACAATTCACTTCGGGACCTCACAGGGAACATCCCAGGGCCACCTCTGGGTCATCCAGGCCTCCCAGGGTATCGATGGCAATCTAGTTATTAATAATCTACCCGGCCACGTGTCCTAACCCGTTTGTTTCTTCTGGGGCGTCTTGAGCACCCTTCACTTTCCTAATGACCCCCTCCCCTTGTCCTTACCCACCTTATGCGGTAAACAAGGCAGATGGCAGCACCTCCACATAGCAAAGGAGCAAATGGGTGCCAGCCACCCACATGAGCAGGAGGTGAGATGAGAGCCAGCTTTCCACTGTCCGTGGAGAATGGTGGCCCCTTCCATGGCCAATTTGCAGTAGGCAGAGGAGACTCTGGAAGTCAACTCACTCACTGACCTCCTCTGCGCCAAGGAGCCTTGAGAGCTTGGCTCTCCCTGCGTGGGAGACTTGTATCCCCCTAGCAAGAAAAGAGTTATGGAGTTAAGCACAGGTGGAAACCAAATGGTTGGACAGCTTTCCACCTGTGACTGGAGTTGAAGGATGGTCTCAAAGCCATTGCTGCACCAGTGTGTACGCTTCGGGCAATGACCGGGATTGCACCGTCACCTCATCCATGACCACCAAGCAGTGAGGATCCTGCCCACGTGAGTCTGTCAAATGCTTAAATACATACACCCCCCCCCCCAAAATCCCGAAGGCTGGTAAGTCATTCTGGTGGTTAAGACAGAGCATGTTAATTCACTTAAATTAAATTTGCTAAATACGTTTTTGTGAGCCAGTCTGCATCTCTCAAACTTCTTGCCCCAAACCTCATAAAATAAAACCAAGACAGACGTCTGGTGTTTCTGACGGCCAGGTGTGGGTCACTCACTGCAGCGTGATGCAGGCCAATCTTCCTCGCTCACTACGTCGGGAAGTTTTTTTCCAGGGCCAGAGCCAGGCAGGGTCGGGATGCCCTGCAGCTCTGAGCTCAGGTGGCCCTGCCCCTTGAGTGTGTACAGACCTCCTGGGTGCCCATGCCTTCTCCGTCTAAGGCACTCACACCACAGACACGAAGAGAGTCCCTGCCACGCAGCTGCTGGCTCTGCATAGTGGCTTCTCACATGACTGCACCACCAAATTCACACAACAGGCACTGGGCTTCGTCCCTCCTCCTGCACTGTGGGAACAGCGGTTCTGAATCGGTTGGCACTCAGGTGCATTGTTTTAAGGAGTAGAATTTAAAAGCATCCATGGCAAAGTCCCACACAGCACAGCTTTTTCTTCCCCACTGTCCCAAATCCACTGGGATTAAGTGCTTGGCCACACCAAGAGCCAAAACGCTGTTCTCATCTGCAAACATATTGCCTGTTTCATTCCTGAAGACTTCTCGCATTGCGTTTTCTAAATGGCTGTGTTTATGGCTGAGTGGACAGGCTTCATTTGGTAACATTGGTGTTCCCTTTGAACAGGGCTTGATGGGATTCATTACCTGTAGTTGGTTTCAGCCCTCCCCGCTGCAGCCTCAGACCCTGCCCAGGTCTGTGTGGTGTAAGGGCTGGGCTGAAAGCTGGGTTGGAAGCCAGGCTAGCACCCCAGGCCATGGCTCCACAGGCTTCCATGTTGCTGCGAATGCTGTTTGGGAGCAGCTTTTGAATGACCAGAGGTGCTTCATAACCAAACTGTGCAAGGAAAAACTTTCTCCAGGTGGTGCCCCTCAAGCCTCCAGCCTGGCATCGCCCCACGGCGCCTTGAGGAGCCACCGGTCAGGGTTTTCGAAGAAACTGCTGAAAGACTTGGCATGGCCTTTTCAAGCTGCCTGTGCGGCACCAAGCAGTAGCCACTAGGTGGCAGTGTGGCGCTGCAGGAACTGGGGTCCACCTTGCACTTGGCTCAAAGTCATCCTTAGGGACCAGAGGTCGCCTTCCTACAGGACACACACAGACAAAAATCCAGGAACAAGGTATGTCCCGTGCTTATTTCCCAATTCGGGAATCTATCAGGCTCTCTGGGCCGCTTTGCGAAGCTGGCCCCTTTTGTGAATCAGATTCTGCATCAGCAGAACCTCCCGCAGTAATTACACTGGGCCAGAGACCACGCCCACCCTGTGTCCCAGGGGCACGCTGCGCAGTCTTGCTTCCCCACCGCGCAAGCTCTGTGGTCTGGCTTTCTGTGTGGCCAAGGAACACGAAATGTGCATGATGCTCTCAGGTGCAGATGCTCGTCACACATTCCAGATCACAGGCACTCTGGGGCCGGGAGAGCAGCTCGCCTGCCCTCCCCTCCGCACAGCTCCCTGGGTATCTGCTTTCAGCACCATCCATCAGCTGACAAAACTCAAAGGTCAAACCTTATCTTCCGGGCAGCAGATCTTCTGGTAGAGCCGCTGTGAATCCCTGCCTTTTACTGTCTGGAATTAAGGCCCACTTGACTACATTTGCCTCCAATGCAAAAAAATGGATCCTTTCTCAAGGGAGTTGAGGGAGTGAGAGAGTAACAATTACCAGGACAGCTACACTCCCCACAGCCCCTCTGCCCTGCATAGACTCTGCTCCCTCTAACAGGATGGTGTGTGTCAGGATGGTGTGTGTGTCAGGATGGTGTGTGTGTCAGGATGGGGTGTGTGTCAGGATGGTGTGTCAGGATGGTGTGTGTGTCAGGATGGGGTGTGTGTCAGGATGGGGTGTGTGTCAGGATGGGGTGTGTGTCAGGATGGTGTGTCAGGATGGGGTGTGTGGGTGTGTGTCAGGATGGGGTGTGTCAGGATGGTATGTGGCAGGATGGTGTGTGTCAGGATGGGGTGTGTGTCAGGATGGGGTGTGTCAGGATGGGGTGTGTCAGGATGGGGTGTGTGTCAGGATGGTGTGTGTGTCAGGATGGTGTGTGTGTGCGGATGGTGTGTGTGTCAGGATGGTGTGTGTGTGCAGGCCAGCACAGGCTGCGGTGGCAATGGGCGAGGGCGGTTTGTTGCCGGAGACCAAGTCTTTCAGCAAATGCCTGACAACTGACAGCCTCTGAGCTGCTTTACCCCAACAGCTTGGTTGGAAAGAAGACATCTGTGGCCCCAAAGCCAAATAAATCTGCAGATAGTATCAGAGCATCCAAAATGGGGGCTCAAGGGATTCTCTGGTTGAGGCTCAAATTGTTGGAATAAGGATTTCCCCCAAATGGCTACAGGAAAGAGAAGATGGGACTAAAGTCATGGGCTGTGGGGAAGCAGAGCGGGATCTGGACCCACGCCTGGGTCCCAGCAGAGACCCGCCAGGATTCTTGAGATCACGCCGTGCACATGGAAGCCACAGAATTTATTAGAATTTGCGGAAGCGCGAGATAATGTACCACAAAATAGTTTGATTTTACAACATAAAAGAAGTTGTCAATGTACACAGGGTTGTTAGCAAAAAGGGGGGGCAGGGCAGTTTCACATGTTTTGAAAGGTGGTGGACGACAACTACACTTGTCCTTAAAGGAAAATAAAAGCAGGAGAGACCCAGCAGAGACCAACCTGATTTGCAGTTAGCATCGGAATCTAAATCTAGTATCACAACTTTAAGAAACTCTAAGAAAACTATTAGAAAAATAGAACATCAAACAAGCAAAAAAATATACAAATGTACATAATAAAAAACATACAACTCTTAATAATGGCTCCATGTTCAGTAGAAGAAAACATTTATCGGAGAAACCACAGCTATTCAGGTTTGATAATAAACCAACCCTCATTGGTATCATTACCCTTAGTGCTCCTTAAACTCGTTGAAGCTGAAAGGCACAACTTAAGCAGGAAACTTATCTTAAATATATAACTTCTCAAATGGGAAAATAAGTCCCAAACTTAATAGCTTGTCATCAAGAAACACAAAACCATTTGCCTTGTTAATAAATTAACAGTCTGAATGCATCTTTCCATCCCTGCTTCCTGACCCTGCTGGACACACTAATAAATACCCTGAGAAAATCTTCTCTTTAAGCTTGGCCAAGGCACTCCATCTCCTGTGGGGCTTTCAGCTGGCACTCAGCACATTTGTAGAATGACCCAGGAGGGCTCCATGGTAACTGTGCCCCAAGACTCCAGGCCCAGCCGGGTCCCGATGGCGAGAGCATTGTGGCTCAGGGATGCACTGGCACAGAAAGGCTGGACTCGAGGAATCGGGGGGTGAAGATGGAGTCGGCTGGCATTTTTTGCCTTAAAAATCCATTAGGAGTCATAAGCGTGATGACACATGGAGTGTAGCTTCTCACACCACTGGATCAACAGTAATCAATTTCATGACTCAAACAAAGTCCACAGGAGCCTGGCGAATGTACATCTCCCTCTCCCTTAAGAGTCTTACATATAATCTTACGACGATGGCAAACAGACATATCTTAAATTACACATAACAATTACACATAACATATATCCAGATCCGTCTGCCGGCGAACTCTGCAGCAGTTCCACATACGAGCCTCACAGCCCCGCCACCCAGCAATTTCCCTGTCCTCGGAACTGTGTCAGAAGACCAGCAACGCACGGACACGAACATGCCTCTCACGCACCCCAGAACACAGCTGTGCTGGGCTTGGGCACAAAGGCCCCTCACTCCCTGTCTTCACGGTGTGGGTTCTTGGGTGCCAACAGAACTGTCAGCTTTTATTAAGAAGGAAGGGTCTGCGTAAAAATGCGACGTGTGAATCAGGAGAGGGGCCCTGGCACAGAGCCAGGCGGGCTTGCTGTAGCAGTGAGTGCTGCGTCACGCAGTGCCCAGGACCTTGCCTATAAGCCTGAGTGAGGCCCCTGTGGGGCATGTCCACGTGCCCCCCACCAGGACTCATTGCTCTGTCTCCAGTCTCCACCATGGGTTGGGCTGGAGACCACACCACGTGGGACTGCGAACACCAGCCAGTTCACAATGCCTGCTCGCGGCAGGGGCACGGCAGGGAAAAGCTGGCATCATCAGATTTCCACCCGTCTGGACAAAGGTAGGTGGGCCATGCACCCTTCCAGCTGTGCACATGGATGTGCTGACGGTGCAGGAGGGAGTGCGTCAGGGCCCTGGCGACTGGGGTAGGTGGAGAAACCCACTGAGCCCACCGTCCTGCGGTCACCCCTGGCTTCGTATCAGCTCTTGGCCACTGTACTACAGTCAGCACAAGGGACCAGGGAGCTGGCTGCCTGAGAGAGATAAAAGAAGTTGCAGTGGAGAGAGAGTTTTTGCTGCTGCAAAAACCAAAAGTGGGGGGAGATCTCAGCAATTCTAACAGTGTACATTTAGCGACCTTTCCGAGACAGCCTGGGGAAAATGCATCTATCACTCTGTCCTCTTCATTTGGAAAATTAAATCTGCTGCACAAAGCCTTGGCCAAGAGGGTGTGAGCAGGGATGGTAAGCAGAGTGGGGGGCATGCAGAGGCCTGGTCTCCTCCGGACGGCGCTCCTCCCCACTGCAGAGCTGCCCTCCTGTAAGCCGGCTCCTGAGCCAACTGCCAGCAAGGCCCCCGCTGCCTCCCTGGAGACCCTCTTCATCCCTGTCTTCAGCAGAGGTCCTGAGGCAGGCGGGCTGGGGATCTGCTGGGTTTACTGCTTCATGAATTTGGGCCTTCAGAGGTCATGAACACATGCAGGGCAGTCACGGGGGTTGTGACAGACAGGAAGGGATGTTTACCCATCACAAATGGGTCTTTCCAATGAGGGTATTTATTTGTGGCTGGTGCACAGATAAAAGTAGACACAATACTCCCTTGGCGGGTGTGCCTCTAGTAATGTGTAAGTTCTGGCTATGTAGGAAAATCCTGGCCAGCGGAACTAAGAATATTCTTGTTTGGGCAAGGGAACTAAGAGATGTGAAACTATCAATGTGTTTGCTTGTATTTTTATTTCAGGGAAAGAACTGAGGGATGTGATAAGAAAAAAGTCTATTAAAATTGTGAGGCTTACTCCAGACACCATTGCTTAAATAATTACTGCCCTCGCACACAGCAGAGAAACCCCCTGGCAACTGCACAAAAAACTACTCATAAAAGCACAGTGACCAGTGAACTATTATGCAAGGCACCTCCACGTGTCCTTTCCTAACCAGGAAGCCCGTCCTCTAAGGAGGGGGCGCGGGGGGGTCCCATCCCTGCCGAGCCTAGGCGTGCTTCCGCATCGAGCTTTAAGGCCTCTGCGTGAGGAAGGCCACAGACTCCCAGCTGTCAGTGAGCCCTCATGATGAGACGGAGCAGGGGAGACACACCTTCTCAATCTACAGAATGATTCACGGCGCCCACTGAAATCTCAAATGTCAACTCTACATAGTCTATTGGGTGCTGTCTTCACAGAAATTTCAGCCAGAAAGAAAAACTAGAGAAAAAGAAAAAACCAAAAAAAGCAATTCTCTCCTACCACTTCACTTTTCTTGGAGACTGTCTATCCCTCGAGTTCTCTTTGCTTATGTAGAAAATAACGGAAAAAAAAAATCAAGCAAATAACTACCAGGTCCTAAGACAAGAGACAACCAAAACCCCAACAAAATAAGTTAGTATTTATCAAAATATGTTACAGCACCAATCTATATAAATGTCAATACCTCTCTTTGGAAATCAGAGCTTTGGGCTCTTTTGATGCTCCCTCTGGACCATTCAAAATGACATCAGAATAAAGCTCCCAGCAAGGTGAGCAGGCCTGATATGGAGGCCCAGCCCATGGCTGCCCACCTGCCCTCCACTGGCGTGTTCACAAATTCTTGCACTTCTCTCCGAGAATCTTCTGGGGGCACAGGGAGGACACAAGTGCCCTCAATTTATCAGGCTTCTACCAGATTTGTGTCAAAGGCCAGACTAGGAAGAAATGGAAAGGAAACTAAGTTTTGAAAGCAACATTTCCATTTCCCCTGGCGTCCAAAATACCTACCTCCCTTTCCCTGCCCCATCAGCATGGGCCTTCTGTCTCCTGAAGTCGACTCTCAATGGAATGCTCCCCCCACGTTCAGGTTTCCTCTGGCTTCCATCTACAAGGAGTGTGCGTGAAATGGTGTTGGCCGCAGGCCCCGACCTGGGTAAGACAGGCCGGGGTGGAGTGCATTGTAGCTATGGGGGCGGGGAGGATGCTCGGGTCTGTCCCACTTGTGGAGGCGTGGGGTACGAAGCATCCGGATGACAGATACACAAAAGGGACAGCAATATGCCTGGAAATCATCTCCCCTACGAACCACACATCTCAGCAATACGCCAGCCACAGGGGTGATGACGTGGTCATTTCCACGTTCATGTTATGCCCTAACTTAATCTCGGGGAGTGAGTCACAATTTCATGGACTGCGGATTGATTTCAGTTTCATCATGTCACAGAGAATCCAGACAGCTCATGTCAGGGCCAGAAACGCATGCCCCCGACATGTCCTAAACCCGCACTGAGCTGCCACCAGCCTTGAGAACTTTCCAAGAGCCACCAGACTGGCTCTAAAGCATGGGAGGGTAAGACTGAGCGAACGGCGGCGACGCACAGGAAACATACTTCTAACTCGGCCGCCGTGAGGCCAGTCCTGCAGATACAGTCTCATGTTCCAGTTACTCAGGACACAGCCAGTCAGAGAAGACGGCAGGAGCAGCAAGAACTGGCCCAGGCCTGGAGGCCACGAGCTGAGGAAGGTCCCTGGTTTACATACCTGTGCACACACATGCGTAAGCAGAGTAGGCCCTAATGGGAGCGATCCCTTCTTCCTCATTTGAGAGGAACCAGCTGCCCCCAGCCCCGCTGACCAGCCAGTCACGGTGTCAGAGCAAAGCCCTGAGAAGCTGAGGGGCAGGCAAGGTCCAGCCCTAATGACCCATCTGAACGCAACGGGAGAAGGACAACAGGCCTGATTTTCGTTTTTAAGCGCACTACTGTCGTTTGGCTCTGAGGGTGGGGAGCTGCTGGGGACACACTGTTTTGTGGTACTCATCTGGCTTGATAGCTGGGTGTCTGGGGCTGAGCGGGAAGATGGCTGCGAAAGTTTGGAGTATGCACAATTTCAATCCCAGAACAGTCCCCGGGGAGGAAGGCCTGGTTCCCAAGATAAGGAGAGAAGGTGACCTCCGTTCTGCCTGAGGCTGTGGCAGATCCGGGCTGAGCTGATAGGGAAGGAACTGTTTGTTCAGAGAAGTGAGGAGACACAGTGGCCGGCTGCAGCCTAGTGGCCCCAGCCAAGCAGCTGTCTGGAGGTGACCAGGACCTGGAGAGCCGGCTGCAGAGCCGAGGGTGGGCTGGGGCTGCAGTTCAAGTAATTGCACCTTCAGCTGCAGTGAGGGTGTGGATGTTGCACTGGTGGGGAGCGGGGGGTGCCTCCCGGTCCTCTGGGGGCGTCCCTCGGAGCTGCTGCCACTTCCGGGGGGCGGGGCTGTGTGTCACTTGCACTGGTCCAAGTTGCCGTCAGGAGTCCTTGCTTGGTCAGCATCCAGGGACGCCTCCTCGCTGTGCCACAGGCCGTAGCCAAAGTAGATGATGAAGCCTGCGGGCCGACAGCAGAGACGGGCGTGAACAGAGCGCTGGTTGCACCACCGCAGGCAGGGCTGGGAGCCCAGGACAGCCCCGCAGCAAACCCGCTCAGGCAGCCTGCCCCTGCCTGGCATGAGCCCGCAGCCAGCAGCCCTTGTGACCTTTCCACATCTGGAGCAGCTGCCACACGAAGGCCACTGTGACATCTGGCAAAGCCCCACATTCCTCTGGACGGCCTCATGCTGCAGCATTTCCTGAGCAGACAGAGCAGCTGGGCCAGGGCCACCCGAAGCCGTCGGGCCTTCAGCTTAACCCCCTGATGCCCCCTGAGGCCACGAGAGTATCGGGAATGTGCACTATGGAGATGGGGTTTCCCGCAGGCGCTGGAGGTCTCCAGGCTCTCAGCCTGGACGGTCCCACTGCCCGTCTCCTCCACGTAACTGACCATCAGACTGCAGGAGCCACCGAGCCCCGGGAACGGACTTCACACAGGAGTCCACAGTCTGTTCCTGTGCTCAGGACTCCGGGGTGGGTCCAGGACCTACGCTTCTAACCACCTGCCCAGGGAATGTGGCCAGATGGCCCCAGGTAACTGGGGCCACCTTGTGTGGCTGACACAGGAAAGAGGCCTGAAAGCAAGGACTCAGCCACCCAGAGCCCAGGAAAGGAGCTCAGGCTCCCAAACACAGGGGCTTCGACAGGGATGCTGGGAAGAGGCACGCCCTGCCTTCACCAGGCCAGTGGGCTGTGAGCAGTTTTTTCTCAGAAAGGCTCTAGGAGACGTCTAACTAGATATGGGCTGGACTTTGCAAAGAATGAGGACCCCCCCCGGTGCCAGCAGACAACAGGCCGCCAAGTACTTCCTGGAGGAAAAGCACCCCTCGAGGGTCCTGGGAGATGAGGCAGCAGCCATCTGCCCGCAGCATGCAAACTCGGGGCCGCGAGGCTGTAGGGACATGGTCCTGAGGGGCAACGGCCAGGGCCACTCTCCTGGCTATCAGCACTACGACTCGGATGCTGAAGGGAAGGAAATGGGTCCCTCCCCTCCAGCCCCTGGGGCGAGACGTCCAGAGGGGTGGGACTCGGCTGGCCCGACAGGCTGCACCCACCCCTGGTGATCCTATCTCATGTGGGAGCCCCTTAGCCCAGTGGCATCTCCCATAGGCTCCAAAGCACTCTCCTTCCAGAGACGATGCCATCACAGAGAGCCCATGACACCCACCCCTGCCTGGGCCTAGTGCCCATGCCAATCTGGTGCTGGGCAGGCGGGGGGCCAGGAGGCACAAGCCAGACTTTCCTGCCCGGGGTGAAAATAACTGGTACCTTATCTGCAGCAGACTCATCACTTTGTTCCTGTGAATACCAAGGTCTTGCCCAATGGAATAAATAGTTTGGGCAAGAGGCAATGAAAACAAAAAGTATCTAACAGGGAGGAGAGGACTCACAGCCTCCCAGAGATTGAGCATCATCTTCGAGAAAGCTGCTGACTGCATGTGCGTCATTCTGTTATGAAATCTGAAACAAGGGAGGCTCCCGAGAGATGCTGGCGGCAGCATCACATACCTATCAGCATCCACACGGCAAACCGGACCCAGGTGCCCTGGTCCAGCTGCATCATGAGATAGACGTTCACGAAGATGCTCAGGACGGGGAGCACTGGCAGGAAGGGAACCTGCAGAGACAGGAGGCGGTGTCAGTCCACGGCAGTGGCGCCGGTTCCAACAGTTCAGTAAAATTGTCTAGCAAAAGGCAGCACACCTGAGAGTGACGGGGACTGTCGGGCGAGCGTGGGGAAGAGAGACGGAGTGCCCACCCCCACCCCCACACCCAAACACACACACAAACACACCCAAGGGTAAATCTTAGTAGGTGGGGATTTGGTTCTAAGCTCTGAATGGCCAAGTGAGCTCCATTCTAATTTTCCTCTGTTGCGATTCTCCTGCTAAAGAAAGGACTAGAAGACAGACCTCCACTTTACCTCTCAGGTCAACAACCTTTTTTATTATTTCTGTAATCTAAAAATGCAGAGGCCTTGCCCATCTCTCAGGCTTGGAAAACTCATGCGACCAACCTGAGCAGACATTTACGAGAAGTGTTGCACCGCCCCGGAGGGACTGCTCCACGGGGTCTGCTATTATATATACACTGAGGGGCAAGCAGCTTCATCAGCAGCACCCTTGATACTCTCTGGGGAAGAGGCGGCACATTTCACAAAACACTGATCATCAGGAATGCTTGTTTTCCAGACAATTCAGAAATGGATGCCGAACCTCCAGGTACTGGCGAGGTCTCCCTTGGCCTGTGTCATGCAGGAAGGTGTCAGCCTGCCCTTGACTACTCAGGGAAACGTCCAGCGGAGGAGGGCTGCTGCCTCCTTCCAGGGTCTGGTCCTCTGTGTGCCTTCAGTGCCCCTGCCCCATATTACCTGAAGCTGGCTGACAAAAACCTTCCTCAGGAGCACCCAGACCCGGCTGAGCCCACACAAGGCTGGCCCGGCAGCAGGAGGGCCAGGGTCTGTGTGCCAGGGTTCCTTCCCCAGGCCGAGCTGCTCACCTTAAATGAGAGCTTGGTCTTGCTCTCGGGCTGCCTCCAGATGACACCCGTGACCACGGCACAGAGGAGGGCAGATCCTGCGAGCATAAAGACTGCCCACAGCGCCCCTTTGGTGAGAGCCTCCCTTCCAAGCACCGTCACAATGCAGAAGGTGATGATGAGAACAGCTAAGGGGGAAGGAAGAGACAGAGCGAGCTGCAACTCAACCATTTCTCAATTTCCCACTGGCATCCGCTGCTCTCCCCTCAACTTGTGGCAAGAGAGGCTCCATTTCTGAAGGCATCAACTTCAGTTAGCACAGAGCAACTATGTCCCAGTCCAGGAGCGAGACAGATGCTCATCTTCTCTGGCCCCAACTCCAGCTCCACTGCCTAGACACCATGCAATGCCAACAAGCAAGGCCCCAGGGAAGGGCTAGCTCTCACCTATGAGGCTGGTTGAAATGTTCACAATGAGCCCGGAGATTTTGGAAGGCTCCATGTTTTTGGGCGAGAGTATGGTTTTCAGAGAGAACATCTCTGCCTCTGGTAAAAAGCCCAGCTGGGAATCATTGCTGCTGGCCAGCTCATTTTGGTCTGCTTGATCTAACTCGTCAGAAGTACTGGCCATCTGGTATACCAGGTTAGGTTGCTCTGGCTGATACCTGGAAAGAAAGGTATTGTGTGACCACCATCATCCGCTTCAAGCAAAAGGACATGCACCAACTCAAGTTCTCAATAAGCCTCCGAAGTTAGCTGCCCGGGACACAAGGTATAAAATGGGAAGGCTATAGTCAGATGCTGCGTTGTAGACAGACGAGGAGAGACCGGGAACACCACCTCCCACTGTTGCTTCTGGGGAACATCCCCCACGGTCTCTGCTTCGGGGTGACATCACCTCCACCATGAGCAGCCCAGAGGAATACCCTGAGAGGATCTCTCTTGCTCTGAGAAGTGGCAGTGGCCCTCAGATGCTAAAGATATTAGGCCACTTCCCACAAAATTACTGCTGTAGGGAGCAAAAAGGAAGGAGAGAAATAGAAAGCAGTAACGCCAGGATCCTATTTGGCACAGAGAGCCAGAGAAATGCGGCTGCAGGCTGATGGATTTGAGAAATTCTGTTTGCGTGCCTTAATTGGATCAATTTATTTTAAAACTCCAAGTACCTCGGAGTAAATAATTCTGTGCGGCTGGTCGGAGGGCCGAGCCTGCAGCATGATTTCCAAGACATGAGTTACCTGCCAGTGGAGCATCCGTTCTGAATGAGGTGCCTTATCTTCCCACCCAAAGTGAACAGAGTGCACATCTTTTCCACCAGCTTTGAAAAGCAGAGTGCTGTATGAATTATTTTGCATATGATCAATTCTAAGAGGGAGTATAAAGATATTAACCATTTTTGTACGGATTCGCTTGTGCAGCACCACTCGGTCAATTAAGAAAGTGGGGGACCTCAGAGAATCTTCTAGTGTTGGGCCTGTTGGGAAGAATAAGGGGTCCCCAATAGTCTTAGCTGATTCTACAGAGCTTCTGCTGAGGCTCAGCTCGGGCTTTATGTGCATCGGCTGCTGAGCACCTTGGAGATGCAATCAATGGCCTGGCAGGTGGGAATCCCTGAAAAGAAAGGAGCAGGCTCTTGAGGGCAGACCAGTGCTGAGTGTCTCCATGAGCTCCGGTTCTCAGGATGCCAGCTGCCCAGGGATGCGCTTTGGGAGTGGGCGCTGGGGCAGGTGAGAACACCGAGGCACAAAGCCCAGGCCCAGAGCAGCTTTACTGTGACTGCGAGAGGCTTGCCTGGCCCCAACCAGGCCACAACAAGCCGACTCCACAGTGTCCCTGAACATCAACCTAGGGCACCCCATGCCACGTAATGGGATTCATTCCTCCAGCCACAGTGCAACGAAGCTGCAGAAGCATTACGCTGACCTGGGTTTCACAGGCCTTGGGTTTCCCTAACTCCTACCAGGGCAGCCCTCAATCCTCTCTGTCCCAAGAATCTGAACCAAGTTGCAATCAGTCTTCAAAAATTCTGATCCCAGGATCCTGGCCTAATAGTTGGGCCGAGATTCTATTTCTCTCCACCCAACATCTAGCCATAAAAATGAGGGCACACGATAGAGGGGGGTGAGGGGCCACCCGACTCTTGCCAAGGACGTCCTCCTAACTGGGCTCTCAACCCAGGTCCTCCCCTCTCCTTGGCAGCTCCCATTGGAGCCATCACCAACCTAAAAGTTTCATTCATCACATAAACCATAGCGGAACTGTGAAAAGGCTACCAGGTGCATCTGCATTTCTGTCATGAAACCCCAAAAAGCCATACATACCGTAAGACCAACACACAGGCAGCCACCAACGAGTAAGCCAGGAGAGTGCCAATGGACATGAGGTCCACCAAGTCCTTCAGATCAAAGAGGAAGGCCATCACAGCTGGGAAGAGACAGACACCAGGATCTGTGGATGACCGTCTGCATGCACGGACAACCAGGACCACCACCACCTACCATCCAGGGCAGCAAAGGGAGCTGCTTTTTCTCGCACCCTCTTCCTGGCCTTCCCACAGAAAGACACAGCTTAAAGGGAAGTCAAGCTTCCCTTTAAGCTTGTGATTAAATCACAGACACAGTCCTCAATAGACAGTAATAATCATTAACATTTGTATAGAGAATACCTTCGCTCTTGTGATTTTAATGGCAACTTTGTAAGCCATCCTTACATTACAGATGTTAACATTCACACAGGTTAGGAGACTTATCTAAGATCACACAGCTCTTAAGCATAGGTATAAGGATGTGAACTAGGTTCTTATGACTCTGAGTCCTGTGTGTCTTCCTCTAGACCATGGTGATTCACAGACTCACGTGCATCCATCCATCATCCATCCCATCGATCCATCCATTCTCCATCAATCCATCTATCCACCCATCTTTCATTCATCCACTCACCATCCATCAATCCATCTCATCCATCTGCCCATCTTCCATCCATCTCATCCATCTATCTATCCATCCATCCATTCATCCATCCCATCCACCCATCTTTCATTCATCCACTCACCATCCATCAATCCATCTCATCCATCTGCCCATCTTCCATCCATCTCATCCATCTATCTATCCATCCATCCATTCATCCATCCCATCCACCCATCCATCCATTCAGCATCTATCCATCTACCCATCTTCCATCCATCTCACCCATCCATCTATCCATCCATCCATTCATCCATCCCATCCACCCATCCATCCATTCAGCATCTATCCATCTACCCATCTTCCATCCGTCTCATCCATCCATCTATCCATCCATCCATCCATCCATCCCATCCACCCGTCCATCCATTCAGCATCTATCCATCTACCCATCTTCCATCCATCTCATCCATCCATCCATCCATCCATTCATCCATCCCATCCACCCATTCAGCATCTATCCATCTACCCATCTTCCATCCATCCATCTATCCATCCATCCATTCATCCATCCCATCCACCCGTCCATCCATTCAGCATCTATCCATCTACCCATCTTCCATCCATCTCATCCATCCATCTATCCATCCATCCATTCATCCATCCCATCCACCCGTCCATCCATTCAGCATCTATCCATCTACCCATCTTCCATCCATCCAGCTCTGGTGAGAATGTGCCCATCACTGGGTTTTAGGTACTCACTACTGAACAGGGCAGACCACAGTTCCCAGCCTTCTGAGTGTACCCCACCAAGACACAGGCATCAGTGGGCAACAGTGCTGGGTGATAAAGAAGGGCAGGTCTGGTGCTCTGGGGGGACTCACAGGGGGTCCTAACCCAGGCAGGTGACCAGGAGAGCAGAGTTCTTCACATGTGAAGTCACTCACATGGAAGAAATCTGAAGAGCTGTTCTCAAACAATATAGTATCAGCCCCTTCACCGTGTCCCTGGCCTTTAAAATGAATGAAAACCTGCACCCTTATTTGAACATCTTTTGTGAGTTTTGGGAGAGTATGCATGTCTATGCATGTGGGTGTGTATGTCAAGTACTCATTAAAAAACAACTTGGCTAGATCTGCTTTGGGATATTTTCAAAACACATGCAATCAACACAAGCTAAAATATAAACACAAAACCATTATTTTTCCACAAATATCTCTCAAGCCCCTCTAGATCACTGCAACTAAAACAAATTTAAATAGAGAATAAAACATAAAATTAAAGAGCAATGAGGGAGGGCCTTTTGGATAATCAGAACAGCACCCAACTGTGCATGCCACAGATGCCGATGTTCCTACTCATAGGAAACTTGAGACTAATTTCTTCCATGTGAGGTGATTTTAGAAAATCAAATACTTATTTACCACTCCCACCAAATGAAAAGGGTAAATCCTGGATTTTGTGAATGGCACGTACTTCACAGTCCCTTCTCAAAGAGCATGATTTGATCTCCCTCTATCAGCAGGGGAAGGAAATTAAGGCCAGTCTTGAACATGATCAAATTCCGGGCAAAGCCTGAGAAAACAATGACTATTTCCAAATCCTTAATCCTGTAAATATACTGGTCACATTCTGATGTATAGTGCCTCTCAATGTGACCACTGTGGCCACTCTCAAGAACATAGAATCATGTAAAAAAAAGTTTCATAATTTAAAAATAGGTTTATTTTATTACATAATATTAATCCACAAAACTAAGCACAGTTTGCTAAAGGCATGAATGCTAATAAAACTTAGTGAATAATTCATTCATTTAAGAAGGTCAAGGGCCTTACCAATGGCTACTTGACAAGTTGCTGTGTTAGAAACTATGACTGATATCACATGCCCCAATTTGCCAAAAAGACCCACTGCTCTGCTCAGACCCTGGAAGGAGCTTGGCTACTTTGGCATGAAAACAATCCTGGAATCACAAGGCCCCTCCACCGTCCTGGGTGCACATCCTCACTTCACCTCCCTGGGCCTCCACTTCTACATCTGTACAGTGGGCTGGCGTCTGCCTTTCGGGGCTATGAAATGCAACCGCGAAAGGAGTCATAAAACCACAGGTACAGTGTGCACGTGAGCTTCCTTTTGGGTTCTCCTTTCCATCATCTACGGCCCTGGAACACCCACATGGCTCAGATTAGTCATCCATCAAAATGATCCTCTCAGCAATGATGCTCATCTGACAAGATGAAGCTCTACTGAGTCTGCTGTTACGTATAAACTTAGCGGCAAGTGGCTTCATCAGCAGCACCCTTGATACTCTCTGGGGAAGAGGCAGCACATTTCATAAAACACTGATCATAAGGGACACTTATTTTCCAGAGAATTCAGAACTGGATGCCGAATTTCCAGGTGCTGGTGAGGTCTCCCTTGGCCTGTGTCATGCAGGAAGGTGTCAGCCTGCCCTTGACTACTCAGGGAAATGTCCAGAAATGGGGGGAAAGGGTTTTGGGGGAATACTGTGTGTTCTAAGCTCTGCCCAATGAGATGAAAACCAGAGTGCAAGCTGTTCGAAAATTCTCTCCCATCCTCTGTCAAACTGGCCTCTGCCTTTTGTCAAAAGGTCAGTCAACTTGCAATGAACCAGGCTCCAAGTATAAAACCCAGGAGTTAAAAAGACCAGTTGAGATTACTCACAGACCAGAACAAGGCAAGATGCCTCCCTAGGGAGTCATGACTCTACTGGTAAAATATTGACATGTGAAATGAGTTCAAGTACTCACCAGCAATGGCACCCGAGGCTAGTGTGGCGATTATTGGTGTTTTGGTCCTATCATTGACCTTAGCCAAGAATTTAAATAGCAGTCCATCCTCAGCCATGGCATAGATAACCCGAGGCATGGGAAACATGGAACCTAGAAGGCTAGATGGGGAGAGGCAAACCACGTGAGTGAACCTGGCTCATAAGGGATAAAGGCACCACATCCATCCATGCTCAGTTTACCACAGAGGAAAGGGAGTCTGAGCTCACCAAGAGCTGCCATCTCTCCACGCTGGGTGAGGCCTGTGGCTAAAAGACTTGGCATTTAATAAATCAACCCCAGAAAGAGCACACACTGTGAGTAAGGGTTAAGGTAAAGAGTAGGGAACATCTATCTAACATACACTAGCATGAGACCCAGCACCGTCTTTACAGATGGAAAACTGTATTTATTCCTGCAATTATTTCTAGCTGAATCAAACAGAAAATACAAGCATCACTGCATTCATGAAGATTTCCCCGTGGTAAATCAATATTTACCAAATAGCTCTGTTTATACAGGCTAAGAGGAAATACGTTGGTGAAAATGTTTCTCATTAAAAGGCATTTATTCCCTTCTTCAAAGTAGCTTCTGCATGACAGCCAAACTGAGGGCCAAACTATGGTGTTCAAACAGGGAGCCTGTTCCAGGGACCAGATTTAGGGACAGAGAGCCAGTCCCTTGCTAAGCAGATGATGCTGAAAAAGCCAGCCTCAGGTTCCTCAGGATGAAAATCTCAGTAACACAACTCTTGGGATGATGAATATTGACAAGGGTGTGAAAGCCACATGATCAAGGCGAGGTTGGGTGCTCGGTCTATTTCAAGGGTAAAGAATGCTGGCAGCCGACGTGTGTCTCGCACGGCTGTACCTGGTCTGCTACAGCCTAAGCCCTGCGGTGGTTCCACCCCTAGGAGCAGCCAGCACAGAAAGGCCTCTCACCTGGCAGAAAGAGCGCAGAGGGAGCCCACGGCCACTGCGTACTTGGCGCCTTCCCAGCCCACGTGCTTAAAGGCATCGGGCAGGGGGCTGTTATTGTCCAGGCAGAAGTAGGGCATCATGAGCGTGAGGGCGGCCGACACCCCGAAGTAGGCGATGAAGCAGATCAGGAGGGACGCCACGATCCCCACAGGGATGGCCTTCTGCGGGTTCTTCACCTCTTCACCTAGAAGCACCAAGGGGTTAGCAGAGGAGGGCACAGAGCAAGAGGCAGCACATCTGCCCACGTGACACCCAAGGCCTCTCAGTGCCAGGGAACCCACGCAACACTACGGGAAACCTCCCCCCAGCGCTTGGCCCTGTGGCACTGGGGCCTCCTGTGCTTCCAGGAGCGGAGGGGTGGTGCTCAGGAAGACACAGCCGACAGCCCGCGGCCCTGCAGCAGCGCTCTCGGCCTGAATGTGGCGGTGCGGCCAAGGAAGAGACTTGCTTCCTTTGGCAGAGGAAATCTGGCCTGTTCAGTCCACCAGGATGACAATGTTGTGAATGGCCTCACTCCTCCCGGAAGATGCTCAGATAAGGAGTCAGGCCACAGCCACGCAGCTATGATCCCATTCTAACAGCGGAACCTTAGCCTCATTCAGGATGCAGCTTCCATCAGGCGTTGACACTTGGGGATGTGATGATGGTTTGAGGGTGGGAGGGGTTGGCAGGAAAGTACAAATCTACACGTCACTCATGTGTGAAAGAGTGGCGACCGGACGGTGCCAGCAAGGAGGGAAATGACAAGCCGTGCGCAGCATTGGCTTGTCTGCCCGGGATGCAGGAGGACCCGGGACCCGAGTGGGCTGGCGGGCATACCTGTGGTGGCGATGCAGTCAAAGCCCACGAAGGCATAGAAGCAAGTCGCTGCCCCCGACAGGACACCAGAGAACCCGAAGGGCATGAATCCACCAACACCGGGCTTCCCTTCTTTTGTGTCACTAGAAAAAAGAGCCACAAACAAATGTCACGTCATTCGCTGCACAGTCTGGCGTAAGCAGCTGTGCTCATCTCCAGATATGAGCGGCACCTGGCAGTCAGCCCTCCCTGTTACCGCTGCCAGGCCCTGGGCTTCAGACGCCGAATCCAGCCACAGCATGCCGACTCCGTGGGCACAGGCCTCCCTGATGTTCGTGGCCCAGGCTCACAAGGCTGCAGAGTATCGCCCTTTCCAGAAGCACCTTCTAAACAATGACTAGGGTAGGGAGACATGGGGACTATGAGGCAGGAGTTCAACAGGAAATGGGGGAGAAACCAGCCACGTGGCCAGCCCCACACCCTTCTCCCCAGGACCCTCGGAGGAAGGATGCAGAGCTGCCAGCCAGTCCTATATTTACCAGGAATAAATACCCGGGTCCCATATTTACCAGGAACTCAATCTCCAAACAAATAATTCCAGAGAAGCTAAGGCTAAACTAAAAGCCTCTGTCAGCAAAGGCATTCCTTAAGTGCCTGTATGCACAAGGTGGAGTCCAGGATGGCGCAGCTTTTGCCAGGTGTGTGGGTCCCAGGCACAGCTGGGCTCTGGCCCACGGGAGGGTCTCAGCACATTTTTGCTACACTGATTAATGCAAAGGCAAAATCAGCACAGTTTACAAACCCAGGAGTCCAGAAGAAGCAGGCTGCTTAAACATTCAGAAAACAGTCCCATAAATCTGACACCCGTTCTGAGACACGGTGCCCAGGTTCAGTGTGGCGCTATGGCCCCTCCCCAGGCCCCGTCGGGGGTCCTTCAAGCCCCTGTTCTGCGATGTACAAAGCCCTGGCCTGTCTGAGTCCCCCACATGCCGCGTTCTGGGGGTGCACCACGCCGTCAGTGCAGGTGGCTTCCCTGGCAACCATCACCTGGTCAGAAGGCACATAGCCCCTGCTGGTCACCAAGTAACCCTAAGCTTTCTGCATCCGGCCCTCTGCTGCCACCCAAAAAGCAACTGCACTCCTTGTGGTTCAAGAAGGGCACCCCCTACTCCCACATCTTTGCCAGTCGCAGGGCCGCAGGCTTTCTGTCCTGTGCCAGGGTCCCACTGGCTGGCCTGGAGCCCTAGAGGATGCTCACCACCCACCTGTCACCCCCACTCAACCATACTGACAGCCGCCCAGCGGCACAGGACAACTTGCCCTAAACCTCATCAGCATGAAGAGAGGAACCCTATAGAATGCTCCCAATCCTATAAACACTGACGTTCCTCAGGTTGGCTGGGCAGCCCATTTGGTGAACTTTGCTTTCAGTGGGATTTACTGACTGGCTGATAAGACAGACAGACAGATAGGATGGACCCAACTTTCTAATAGGGATTAAGCCTTACTAATTCCTAGAGGATATTCACATCTCTCAGTTACAGAAACTGCCATGAAGACACTGCAAGTACATGCATGAGAAAGCTCATGTACATGTGGGGTTTACTGTGGTTCCATAAACAGTAACAAGAGGAAACCCCCAGAAATGTACAAGTGATGGATGTAGGAAAAACTGTGGCCAAACAAAATTTTAGTTTGTTGTGTTAGAGTATGACTAAAATTAGAAACCCAAGCAGCCCAGGACAGACAAGTCAGCAGGGCCACAGGACAGCAAAGGGCTGGAGCTGTGCCCACCTCATCCAAACCCCCTCGCCTCTCAGGCCACAGGCCCTGCCGGCTGCCCACTCCCACCCTGGCTAACGGCTTCTGTTATACAGTGGCCTATGCTGAAGACAAAACAGGTGACAACCAAATGGCTCAAGAGGGGGAGGAGGAGGCCAAAGAGGAGGGGACTCAAAAGTCAAAATGGCTTCTGTGGGCCCCACTTCGGTCCCCTGTGGCGGCCAGGGTGACAGACAGGCAGTGAAAAGCCTCCAGATCCCCACTCAGCTCCTATGACATCAAGAGCTAGCAACATGGCCTTGCGTTAAAATAAATGCATGCCCACTTTGGGAGGCCGAGGCGGGAGAATCACCTGAGGCCATAAGTTAGGGACCAGCCTGGGCAACATAGTGAGACTGGGTTAGTGCAAATTTTTTTTTCTAATTAGCTGGGTGTGGTGGCATGTGACTAGAGTCCCAGCTACTTGGGAAACTGAGGCAGGAGGATTGCTTGAGCCCAGGAGTTTGAGGCTGCCTTGATCCATGATTGTGCCGCTGCACCCCAGCCTGTGCCACTGCACCCCAGCCTGCACAACACAGCAAAATCCTGTCTCTAAAATAAATTTTAAAAATTAAAAAATATATATAAATGAATGCTATCATGGATAGATGAGCTTTAGGCCACCACGAGGCAGAGGCACCTAGAAAGGTCCTGAAATTCCCATTTCAGGGCAAGTGGAAAGTGTAGGGAACTGCATACAGGATTAAATCCCAGAAACAGGTGAACTCACAGAAGAGGACTAAGAAGGGCTGGAATGTGTCTTCCTCACGCAGACAGGTAAAGCACGCACAACAATAAAAGCGCGGAGAGAAGGAAGCAAGGGAGATGGGTGAGTGCAAAGGAAGGAGGCAAAACAAAAGGCATCCTCCCCGGCTCCTCAGGACAGTTGCAGGAGACACTGGATAACCCTCCAGGTGACAGAACGTGGGTGAAGGCACGCGTGAGCATCCGAAAACCGGCCCCGCTGACTGTGACCCTGCCACACCTGCTCCTTGTACTGCACCTCACCTCAGGAGGACCTACCCCCGACCTCAGGAGGACCTACCCCCGACCTCAGGAGGACCTACCCCCGACCTCAGGAGGACCCAGGTGCCGGGACCCTGGGCAACCATAACAACGAACAAGGGCCTGATTTAAAAAAAAAAAATTTGCAGGGTATGCTAGTAAGCAAGAACGCAAGGTGCAGAACAATACATACGAAATGCCGCGTTTTGTTCAAGAAAAAAGGAATAAAATATACATATCTGCATTTGCTTGTGCTTACACAGAGAGAAACTGGAAGCTTACACACACACACACACAATTAGGAAGTTTACCTGTGGGGGTGGGAGATGAGGTGGATGAAGAAAGGAACGCATTGTAAATCTTTTTTTTAAAGCATTATGAATTTCACCTACTCAAAAAGTTAAATTCAACCTTTAAGATCGGGTGTTACTGATGCCAGTGGCAGAGTATCAACACAAAATAACCACAGAATCCATTCTAGAGGTGCAAACCAAAACATGTAGAGGTCTTTCTCAACGGTCTCTTTCTATATAATCAATAACTAACCTTTTACATGCGTGTGGCAGTTGTGTTCACTCATCATCTGGCAACTCACACGTGAAGGAGAAGGGCTGCCAAGAGCCCTCACCCAGCAAATGTTGCCCCGAGACAAAGTGAGCTTGAGTCCTGGTCTCAGCTCGGCGCTGCCTGCCCTGCAGCCTTTGACCAGCCCTCCTGTGTTCCACTCAGCTGGCCACTCAGAAGCAGCAAAGACAAGGCCTGGCATAGAAAGGGGTCAGGCCCGAAGGTCTCCCACCGCATCAGCAGTGAACATCCTGCAGCAGGGCCCCGCCCCCCTCACTTACACCAGCCACCCTGACATCAACTGTTAGCTGTGCTCAAAAGCCACACTCCCCTGTTCTTCCACGTGGTAATAGAACCCTTGTTTCAGCTGGACATATAAGTCTTAAGAACCAGGACTGCATGTTTCCCAGAGTCGCTAGCTACAAGGGGTAGCCATCTGGCTAAGTTCTGATGGAGGAGGTTTGAGCAGACATGGTGTCTGCGTCTGCTGAGAAACTCCAGGGGATGAAGTAGGGAGGGAGGGCGCCCTCTGCTGTTCCCTTCTCCATCCTGCTGGCCGGAGCGGGAAGAGCTGCCTTGGGCCCTGGGGCGCCTGGCCTGGATTTCTGGCCGGGTGAAGCGACATGCTGGACTTACCACCCCCAGAGGTTGACCAAAGAGAACCAAACCCTTATCTTGTTGAAGCCAGTGTTATTTTGGGGCTTCCATCCTAACTGGCAGACACCATCCAACAAAACTTTCTCAACAGGCTTCCACGCGGGGTTGATGCCTCACTATTGCTGTGTCCACAGAACACTGGGTGGGAATGCCAGCGGCAGCCTGAGTCAAAGGCATGAGGAGCCATCCAGACTGCAGGGTAACACTCCTCTTCACAGACCAACAGACAGACCAACCTAGTTCCCGGGGCCTTCCCGGACGGCTAGAAGACAGCATCCTGAAATCACAAACCCACGCGGACACACGGCCTCCCATGCAAGATGAAGCCCCCGTACATTACATGGGTTGGTTGGGCCGTGCCCTACTATTTCAGAGGAACAAGCAATTTCATGCAAGACTACATGGCTGTTGTCAGAAACACAAAGCTATGGCTGGAAAAACAAAAGACAGAAAGATGCTTAGAGATTTTAACAACATGCCAGAGCATGCCAAGGAGACTCCAGTCCTGCAGAACTCCACCTCCTCACATGGCCGATCCCCTGCTGGCCCCATGGTCAGGGCGCTGGGCCCTGGTAGTGAGGCCGTCAGATGTAGCTAAGGGGGCCCCACCTGTGATCGGGGGTTGGGGCAGCAAACGCTGCTTTGTCTGGGGGCCGGTACAGCTAGCTCATCATTACCAGGGCATTAGCGTGAGGCTGACCAGTGAAAGTAAATACCATCGGCTGGCACAACCAATCTCTTCATAAAAATAATAAAATTAAATCTCGATTGGCAACCAGTTAACAAGAGGTGCCCTTTATATTTCATTCCTGACCTGTAAATAGCAACCGCTCAAATACGCTCTCAGAGTTTTCAAAGGCTACTATGTTCCTTCAAGGCATATTTGGAACTGGCTTTACGCCACCGTAAACTAATGGGCATCCATAAATTTGGCATAAACATCACTCTGAAATGCTTGGGATGACATATTCAAAGTCTTCACTTCTCTGTCACAGAGTTTAGGAAGCAAGGGTATTCTTATTAGAACGGCTAACCACAAAATATTTGTGTTAGTGAAGTTTCGTGCACCGAGCGCCATAGTTTCCTGTTTCCAATCAAGTAGTCACACGTCAATGCCTGCCCACTGGTGACAACACTGGACAACATGGCTGGGCACCTGGCCCTGAACTAGTGACCAACTGGGCATACGTGACTGCTGAGATTCCCAACGTGGGATAGTGCTTCTCAGCCTCCCTTGCAGTTCGGTGTGGCCCCCAGTGGACTCTTGCCTGTGGAATTTCTGTGTGTCTTCTGGTCTATCCTGAATAGCCCTGAGCACCCTCCTCTACCCTCTCTTCTCCCTTCTGGAAGAGCTGGGTCACGCTTGTACCTACAGCCAGCTCTGACTGGGCAGGTGAGGACAATGTCCCAGGGCAAGACGGAGAAAGACGGAAGATGTCTGGGTCCACAGAGGCCTGTGGTAAAGCTGGCCAGCCAAGTTGGACGCTCACTTCAGGACTGGAAACATCTCTTTAAAAGCACTCCATTGTGGCACCTGGGGCGGTCTCTTTATCAAGGCAGTTTCAACCTTTAGTCTTAATGAAGAATCACACACAAAATCCAAGCCCCCATTCTCTATCCAGGGACCTAAAGAATTATGTGGAGATCTGACAGAAAAGATAAAAAAGATATGCTGTCACTGTGGAGCTTTTTTTCCTAGGTTATCTGAGCTTGTCGGTGAGGGCTGGGTGAGAGACCTGAGATGGCACAGGGTGGAGGTGTCACCTCCAGTTCCGGGTGTCTGCGTCAGAGACATGAGGGTGATGGGGCCACTGTCACCAGGGCTGGAGCAGCACAAGTCAAATGTCGGCGAAAGAGACTGTTGTGCTCACATTCTGACACTTCAGTCATTCAGGAAACCTTCAAAAGCAGTTTCATCTATTTATCTTCCCTCTACATTATTAATGTAACAGGAAGGTAGGTATTCAAAGGTAAAGTGAGGTCACCATGGCACTGCAGAGAAAAATCTTTTCTGAACACAAAATTCAAAAGTTGGCCATCAAACAGAATCTGGGGAAAGAGGGATCATTTAATGAGTCTGACAAGAATCTTGAATGATACACAATTTGGAATTAGGGTGATGATTTTCTTTCCCTCAGTCTTTCTTGTCATACAATAGTCTTTCCATTTCAGGGGAATAAACCTTCACACAAACTTGATACACACAAAATACCCTCAGCTACTTCACTGCAAAAAAAACAAAACAATTAACAACATATACTCCAATAATGTTTTTTTAAAAGCACAAGCCATCCGAGCCAGTTATATCCCCCATACAAGTCTATGTCATTAAATACCAAATAAGAAGAATGGTCAGAAGCAGCAACTCACTTGTTCAAACAGAGACGGCCTGACGTGTTCCCAAAATCTTCCTCCGTGAGCTGCCAGTTTTTAACCGACCCTTTCACAAATCCTGACACCATAATGAAGCCCAGGACCAGGACGTTGACACAAGTGAATATTTTGTTGACCATGGCTGACTCTTTCACACCAAGAGTTAAAAGTCCTGAAAAAGTGCACAGACACAAAACCTTGTCTGAGTGTTAACCACCAACTCGGAAGGTCCTTCCTGGATGGGGATAAGAAGGCGACTGAAAAAGAATCCAAGTGCATCGAGCTTCTGCAGACCTCTGTGAGCCTCTGGGATTGGGGTGGATGAACGATCTTTCTAGGGGCAGGGATCGGGGTCTAAATCACCAAGGTTGTGGGTGCTTCCCAGGCCCTCCTAGGTGACCTCCAGATCCCCTAAGAAGCCCATGCAGAGGCACCCGAGGACTGCAGAGATCGGGAGCATGCGCCCCTCTCACAGGGAGGGAAAGCCTGGACCCGCACACCAAGCCGCTCCCGCTCACGAAAAGAATGCATTGCTGGGAAACAGCCTCCAGGAAGAAACACTTTGCCCAGTTTCCTGGGAGAACGGGCATTTTTCAGAAGGGGAAATTATTCTGGTTGACTTTGGGATGTTAGTGATACTAACAGTAACAACTAACTATGGTTCTGGAACCACTAACATACATGGTTCCTCATCGGACTCAGTGCATATAAAATAACATCTGAGCTAGGCTAGCTCTAGCTTGCAAACTCACATTTTTTTTTTTTTAAAGAAAACTAAGTAATAAAGATGCCCAGGAACCTCTGATAGCGCTGCCTTTGAGGCGTATGCCCCAGCACACCACCTTAGGGTTAAGAGGTCATTCAGGTACTTCCGTAGCTAAAGTCTTTGCTGCACAGGAAAAGTGGCACAGAAGGGGCTGGTACCACTCAAACACAGCCAGGATTTGAGACCACTGCTCTACCATGGACGCTCCTCATACTTTTAAAATAAAAACTGGTTGGGTGCGGTGGCTCACACCTGTAATCCCAATACTCTGGGAGGTGGGCAGATCATTTGAGGTCAGGCGTTCCAGACCAGCCTGGCCAATATGGCAAAACCTTATCTCTACTAAAAATAAAAAGATTATCTGGGTGTGGTGGTGCGTGTCTGTAATCCCAGCTACTTGGGAGGCTGAGGTATGAGAATCACTTGAACCCAGGAGGCGGAGGTTGCAGTGAGCCAAGATCACGCAACTGCACTCCAGCCTGGGCGACAGAACAAGACTCTGTCTCAAATATAAAATAAAATAAAATCTGCTGTACTTTTGAGATGGAATTATAAAGTACAGATGTTAGAAGAGAATTGTGTGATTAATCACAGGGAGAACACCTCAACACAACAATATATTTCTTCTTTACTCTTCCTCCTAATCTCACTAGTGCAGACTTACTTTCTGACGCATGTTTCTGCCAGCTGGACCAGAAATACTGCTGAGACCAGCCTGAGTGAAGTTATTTCAATTATGTGGTGTGTAAAATAAAGCATGTCATTTTTAAAACTCATCCAAGATTTTCTAACCCCAAATGAGAATTTATCTGCATTTCAGCTTCACGTTTATACAGCCCCACAGAGCAAAACTCGCATTGCACTGGCCAAGACACGCACAAATGTCACCAGCAAGAAGTTGCCATCAGCTGTGTTCAGGCAGTCTTTGGGATTTTTCAGATTCTGTAAGCACAACTCTGTCATGAAACTTATTTATTGGAAGGGTGTTTTGATGGTTGTTAGGTGTAAAACCATCCAAGTCGTCTTCAGACGCCCCAGGCACACATTAGTGTTCCAGACGGAGCTCATTCCTCCACATTTTCCTGGCTGATGAATGACAGCTTTGCTTTCCAAATGGTCATCCTCTGAGTCAAAAGAATTTTTATTCCCAGGACACTCATACAAAAAGCCTGCAGTGCTGACAAAATCTTATTCCACAAACAGCTAGGCTAAACACCTAAGATTCTCTTTTAATGAAATGGCACACAACTCAGCAGCTATGAAGCAGGCCAGCCCTATCTGAATCTACAAGCAGCCATGAAGACAGGGACAAATAAAGATGCCTGCATGAAGTACAAAAACAAAACAAAAAGAAATGGGGTTGTGGCTTAAGAGATAAGTAAAGAAAAGAACTTAACAAGAGCCTCTCACAGAACCTTTGACCGTCACTCTGACCTGATCTCTTTTTCAGTGTGGGCTTTCTTTACCTGTCAAGATGAGAATTATGATCACCGCGAATATGTCAGGGTTTTCGGCCAGCACGCCGGGGGCGTTCAGAGCCATGTGTGTCCGTGAGAACTCCCCGATGGGTCTGCCTATCAGCTCGTCGAAGGTGGCGCTCCAGGCCCTCGCTACGCTTGAAGTACCTGCCCCAAAGCACACACAACAGAGGGGATGTGAGGACAACGGTTAGCCAGGTACTTGTAGTGGAGCTCCATGTTCATAACATCATTGCAGGAGTCACTGACGGTGCACTGGAATCTGGCGGCAGCAGCCAGACCACAGCGTATGCTGAGCCAGAAGTGACGGTCAACTAGTGCTAAGTGTGAGAAGGCTTCTAGGGCCCACAAAGGAATGCATTTCACATCCCACCCAATATGCACAGGTGTATTCTATCAAATATACATATCCGAATAAAAAGTTTGCAAAACAAGTGTTACCCTTACCACCTGAGAGGCACTCTGATAGTATGCAATGCTGTTTTGTTGCATTGAAAAAGTAAACATTGATGACAACTCATGAAAAACTGATTTCATAATGCACTCCTGGGGTGCAGCTGGCAGTCTGCAGGAACCCCAGTCAGGAAGCCCTTTTCTAGGAAACTCTTGGCAGCAGAGATGATGGCGCCTGCACCATAATTCTTCTCCCAGCAAGAAGAGGCGTCCTAGGAGGTCCTTGAAGGGGCTGAACCCCAGCTCAGGGACAAAGCCACTTGCTCACCTCAGAGTAGGCATCAGCCACCTCTGCCACTTTGTGCCTGAACGTGACTCGGAGGCCATGGCATCCCCAGAGTGCGGGACCGCAGACAGACCCCAGCTCTCCTCATTCTCCCCTCAGCCTGCACCCTCCAGCGCTGAAGAACACCAACAGGGCAGCACCCAAAATGCCAACAATAGTTGGCTGCTGTCTTTCACTCTCGTTCTCTCCTCTCATATAATTCTGGAGAGAGTCAGAATGCGTTTCCATTGGTGTTTCTCAGGAAATGTCACTAAAATTCCAGTATTTTCATAGAGCATTTTCCTTTGTTTTCAAAGGGGGCCTTGTCGGTGACCATGGTCCCAATTATTCACCGCATACTGCCAGAGTCATCTGCAGAGACTCAATTTCACTATTTGGTCTTATGATAAGTAAGTATCTTTCCAACAACTCAGAAGTTTAACCACATTTCTTCCTCCTGAGCAGCCAATCTATTATGAATTCTGTAAACATGGTCTCACCATCTCCCTGTCACCCCCAAAGCGGCTGGCTCTTGGCAAATGTGGCTCCCAAACCCTGTCCTGCTCAATGAGAGGGGCTACCCCAGCCTTTCTTCCCAGCCTACCCTCTCCCAATTTCTGAATCATGCCTTTAAAAAAAAAAAAAATGTTTGCTGGAAAAACTGCCCTTCCCAGCAGCTAAGGCTGCAAATATATTTTCATAATGCATGCAAATGTTCTCCCACAAGCAAATGGCACTCTGGCAGAGCCTTTCATTTGCTGGTCTAGAAGCTGCAAGCAGTTCATGCTCAATGTATATTTTATGCTCAGGTAAATCCTCTGGAAACATAACGGTCCATTTACAATAGCTACATTCCCAGTGAGAGACCTCAGCTTGTGAGAACCATGTGTGGCTGTAAAGTTTTGATGTGGCATTGAAAGAAAACATTATGAATTTTATTTTAGAGCCCAGAAGACTAAGCTAGGTTGGCTCTCAGCAGATACTGCAGCTGCTGGAAAGAAAGCGAAGGTGCTGTTCAGAGAGTGTGAGTGTGTGCCCTCTGCCAGCTGTCCTGGTGAAGGGGGAGTGGTGCCCCCCATGCAGAGATAGGGCTGCGGGGAGCCCAGGGCTGGGACGGTCCCAGCAGGCAGCATGCGTGGCAGGGCGGGTGTGGTAGGGTCCAGTGGGAGCTGGCACAGAAGCAAGGCGGGACCCACATGGCTCCGCTGACCAGGTCTTACTGTTTTCTCGCTATTACCAAAAAATTTGAGAAAAAAAATAAATGGCACGTTAAGTGGCCGTGTGCACCCTTTGCTTCTTCTGAGACTTAGGTTTTTGTTTCTTTTAAGTTGACGTGTTCAACTTCAGTTGTAATCAAAATACAAAAAAGCATAAGGGAAGCAAAGCGTGTTTACCTGGCAAACTGGAAAGATTTTCTACATTTGCTTCTTTATTTGCTGGGTGGTTGTGTTACAGGCCGATGTCCAGTGTCCACACTGCAGGGTAAGGGGGCCCTGGCTAAGTGGAGGATCACAGTCAACAAAGGCCTTAAAAATATGCAGACCCATCAAGAGCCATTCTGCTCCTTAGACAGTTTTAAGGAAAAGAATCATGGCTAAGCACAAAAACATAAAGTAAGTAACTGTTTATAACAACAGCAACAACATAATGGAAACAATCTGAACAACCCATAAAGACATCCAATACGTTACACGCTGTGTATAGAAATCTATACAAGGGTAGGCAAGCATTAGAAACGTTACCATGGAAAAATAGCTAATGATATGAGAAGTGTTTACTCTATGTTGTTTTATAAACAGGTATACTGTACAAAAATATACATTTAAATTCACAAAAATGTTAAAACAATAGTTCTCTCTGTAGACAGTAAACTGCTGAACAGAGAGTGTCTTATGCCTTCGTGGGATCCCTAGTATCTAGCACAATGCCCAGCACAGAGCAGGTACTCAATAAACATTTATTAAAAGAATGAATGAATGAATGAATGAATAAGAGAATTAGTTTCTCCACATTGTCAGGCAGGATATTTCTACTTTCTTCTTTGTGCTTTTCTTTATTTTCCCAGTTTTTCTCTATCAGTGATGCATTTACTCTAGTAACTAAAAAACATACTAAAAGAAACTAAATACTTTTAAATGAATCAGAAACATCCTATTAATTCTGTGCCTCTCGTGTTAACAAGAATGACCTCCCCATGGGGCATCCGCCCACACTTTAGAGGTGGGAACAAACAGAAAAGTGGTAGAGGGCACAAGCTCCGGACCGCCGGTACCTACCGATGATGTAGGAGAGGATTAAGTTCCAGCCGGTGATGAAGGCCCAGAGTTCTCCAACGGTGACATAGCTGTAGAGGTAAGCTGAGCCCGTCTTGGGGACCCGAGCACCAAACTCGCCGTAGCACAGGCCAGCCAGCACCGAGGCCAGCGCAGCAATCAGGAAGGAGATGACAATGGCAGGGCCTGCATTCTCACGGGCCACAGCTCCAGCCAGGACATAGACGCCAGCACCCAGCGTGCTGCCCACCCCGAGGGCCACCAGGTCAAAAGTGTTCAAGCAGCGAGACAGCCGCGTCTCCTCCCGGCTACAGTCCACCACCTTCCGCCGCAGCATCTGCTGGCCAATGTTGAGCAGGACTTTGCACCCCATGTTGCTGTTCAGAGCTGTTGGAAAAGAACAAAGATGTTTCCTGATTGCTCCTCATTTCATTCCATCACTCTCATCTTATCACATTATTGAAACAGACAGTGATCAGGTCCTTCATAATCATTTCCTGCTAAAATGCTTTAATTCGTAGAATTCCACTGATTATCAGAAGCACACAGCCTTCTCCAGTTTCACCAGCACATACAGAATTATCCCAGCAGGCCAACAGATACAGCTGACTTCATTTCGAGGTCTCTGAGCTTCCACATTGGTATCAGGTCCTCTTAATGGAGACTCTTCCATGGGTGGAAATTATGTAGTAGAGGAAACACACATTAATGACATTGTTCCTACACTCAGTCATCAGATAATATACCAGGAAAAACAAGGTGTTAGTTTAAGTATGCTGTAATAGAAGGCAAACCAAACCATATCGTAATTTCATGATTAAATTACATTATTAAATTATTAAAACTCAGAAGCCCTGAATAGCAATAACAATGGTTTTTTTTAGATCTTTCTAGGATCCCCTGAGGGTAAGGAGCCAGTTGTTTTCACTTTTAAGGTAACACAGAGGTAGGTGGAAGCAGAAAAATGTTGAGTTATTACCAGTGAGGGCTTTTCATCACTTACTACTCCAGGAAGCACTTTTCTTCTGGGCTGAAATGTCAGCCCAACGTGCTCTGTGGTACATGATATATATGCATATCTGATATGCTCTTGGGCACTTATCACGAGAGGACATGTATCCATCCATCCCACCCTCACATGGGACATACCCCATTAGGGCCCAGGACACCCTGTGCCTTGTGGGATGGCTCTGAGATTGCGTTCCTCCAACCTACAGGCCCACCTTGCCTGGCCAGACGCGACAGGTGAGCCCTTGGCAAGGACAGGCCAGCAGCCACCCTCAAAAAGGCGGAGCTTTGCCCCCCACATCTGAAGGGAAGAGACTTCCTTCCACAGAGTCCAGGATGGAAGGGTGGGGGTGGGAAGACAGATAAACTCTTCAGTGGAGAAACCCGAGGACCACTGCCTGCAGCAGGTGACCGAGGCCAACGACAGTGACAGTCACGTTGGCAGAGTGATGTGATGAGAGGGGCACTTCATCTCCCTGGTCTTTCCCCCAAAACCCACAGCCCCAGGCTAACCATGAGAAATCCACCAGACACATTCCATTCTACAAAATACCGGACTGAGTGTGTCAAAGTCATCAAAAACTAGGAAGTCTGAGAAATGGCAGAGCCTAGAGGAGCTAAAGAGACGTGAGGACTAAATGCAATGTGGGATCCTGTATGGGATCCTGGGACAGAAAAAGGACACCTGGGAAAAACGAGGGAAACCTGACTCAAATATGGATGTCAGTTAGTGACAGCACATCAATATTGATTGTAACCAGTGTACCCACCAAAATAAGATACACATTCCTAATATGAAACGGTGAGGGGCACATGCAAGCTCTGTACACTTCACGATTCTTCTGTAAATCTAACACTATCCTAAAACAGAGTTTATTTTAAAAATCTAAGACAAAACACCAGCACGTGCACAGACAAGCTATCATCATGACTTTTGGCTACTGAGGTACACACAAAAAACCATCAATTATTCATGTTGATCATCAGTTGGTATTTACTGACCTAACTTAGCTGCAATTAAGTCACTTGAGATGGTAAGTCTAGAAAAGTCCGTGCCGAAGCACCTGAACACTTCCCTGCCTGCCCACACCTTTGCACCCGCAGCTCCCCGGCAGGCACAGCGCAGCAGGGCCTCCCCAGGCTGCAGCTCAGGGTCCCTCGGCAATGGTCACATCACTGATCAGCTCCAGGTCGGGCAGCAACTGGGAGCGGTGCCTGCTGTTTTATCTGACAGGCCGAGGGAAGAGAATAATCCCAAGACTCAAAAATGTGAGCTAGAATGGGGAATAAAAATCATCTTGATCCTATGCCTTTGTTGCATAGATGGGGAAAACAGCTGAGAGCCAAGTGTCAAACAGGGTCACGGGCTCTGCAGGCGCCGTCCTCTGGGGTTCCGGCGGCATCACAGGTAGGAAGGAAATGATATCATGGTGTAGCAGGTGGGGCAAAGTGGGGAGGAAATGAGGAGGGAGCGCTGCTTGTGGAACAGCGATGGAGCGGGGAAAATCAGACCTCAGAGTTTGAGAAGAGCAGGAAAGGGCGCCTGAGGCTAAGAGAAGAGCAAGCCGAGAGAGACGGATGGCTTCCCAGGTTGTTTTCAGCAACACACGGGACTGCTTCTGCAAGCTCTCGAGCCAGAGCAGTTCTGAGCTGTCTCAGCAAGGCAGGGATGCCTGCGGCTTCCTAGGCAGTTAAGTGAGAGCCTCTGAGTGGCACCAGGGAGAAGGAGGAGCAGGAACCAAGGACCTAGTGGTGCTGGGACCCCAGGATCTGCAGGCTCAGGGGGTGATTTCTCCTGGAAATGCCTTTTTCTTTTCTTCCTTTTGGGGAATTAGCCAGATTTATTCAAGTCAAATTGTAAATCACAACAAAGCGTTTAGTAAACAATTGCTTGCATAGTAAATTGAAAGGGAAAATGCAACATAGCCCTCAGCTGAAAAGCCTGTGCTGGGAGATGTGCAAACATTACTGCAGTCACTTAATATCCTTTTTGGCAGGGAGGGGAGTAGTTTAAGTAGACGAGCCTTGAAGAGAAACAGGGTGTGAAAACTCCTTATGACTTGCACTGTTTGGGATCTGGTGGGGAAATGTGGCTGGGGGATGCACAGACAGTGCCTGTCTGCGTCCAACCTCTCCCAGATGTCATTTCTGCTCAAGAATAAGCAGATTCTCTCCATAAAATACTAAAGGCCAGCCGGGCGCAGTAGCTCAAGCCTGTAATCCCAGCACTTTGGGAGGCTGAGACGGGCGGATCACAAGGTCAGGAGATCGAGACCATCCTGGCTAACACGGTGAAACCCCGTCTCTACTAAAAAATACAAAAAAACTAGCCAGGTGAGGTGGCGGGCGCCTGTAGTCCCAGCTACTCAGGAGGCTGAGGCAGGAGAATGGCGTAAACCCGGGAGGCGGAGCTTGCAGTGAGCTGAGATCTGGCCACTGCACTCCAGCCTGGGTGACAGAGCGAGACTCTGTCTCAAAAAAAAAAAAAAAAAAAAAAAATTAAAGGCCAAGTGCAAGGGAAAGACAATGCTACTCAACAGCATTTTCTTTCCTAGGCCTCATAGGATAACATAACCTACATGCCCAGAAGGTGAGAAGGGGTCGCCCTGCCTTTCTCTGTTCTGGGCTTTTCAGGAGGGCTGTTCCCTGTTTGCACTCCTTTCTCAAAAATGTGCTGTTGTCCTAGGCAGAACCAAAGCTACAAGAGTAACCAAATGGATTCTTGGCAAGGAGCGCACTGGAGCCCAGACACACTCCAGTTACATAGTTCTGGGCCTCCGTAGAACAGAAGGCTAATGTGAGCCGGCTGCTCGCATAAGAGGACAAATGACGCCTGTGGAGGTGCGCAGATGCAAAGCCTCACACATGCACCTGTGTCACCACCAGCACAGATCACTGCTACCAGTTGAAAACCCACTCAAAGAACCAAGCAACTTATGCTGGGGGGACCTCTGTACACCCTTCAAAATGAAGGGGCAGGTGATGACATCACTGTAAGCTTAGATACAGATAACGGTTTTCTAACATCACGTGAAAAGGGCCTTTCTGGTGAGACATCTGTGCGCAGATGCAGCTCATTTTCCCTGAATAGGTACGCAGTGGCCCGTTTGCTTTCGGTATAGTTCTTGGCCTGTTTCCCCCTCACCAAGCCCAGGGAAGTGCTGGAGGGAAGTGTTTGGGTCTCAGCGGGGTGGGGTGGGGACAGCTGGGACCCCTACAGGAGATTCCTTTTACCTTGGTTACTTCTTAAGTATTGCTTGCTATCTAGGGAGAGGGCAAACTCAATTCCTTTGGAAGACACTGGAACAAAGATGCTGCCAACTGCTGCTGAGAAGCCCAGAGCTGATAATCTGGAGAACATAAATGTCTCAGGCTAGGTGTTCACTCCTACTTCCCAGGGTAGGAGAAAATGAGACACTTACTCTGTCTTGGGTTTATTTTAGGAAATATCCTGTCTCCTTGGAAGTAATGCAAAAACCTGTTCTCCAAGTGGTTTTATCTGTCAGCATTTTGTACACATTATACCGGTTCTTACATTCATGCCAGGACTCCAAAGCTGGTTGTTCAACCAACAGTGAGGCTGCACAAAGCTACTCTGCACAGAATTAGCCTAACCATTCCAACCCCAGCAAGCAAAGTCAGGTTGGTAGAGACTGCCTGCTGTTGGCGTTTACACAGAAAGTTGCCAGAATACTTTGAGAGCATTACGTGGAAATTAGGTGAGGAGGAATTTATACAACAGTCGACGCCTCCTTTTATTTGAGGGTTTAATGGAAATCTTGCAACCCCAAGTGTCTCGGATCCATCTTGCTCCCTGTCATTTATTATCAAAGAACATTTACCTGCGGGGTATCCTCAGAAAAGCAAGTTTCCCACAACAGGAATTCTAACTCTGCATTCTATTCTAGTAACCACTACGTAACACCAGGAGTTTTACTGGCCCAATGGGTCAGAATTTGAGATAGACTCTTTTCCGCTCTATTTTAAAGATTTCTGATACAAGCGAGCAGGGGTGGATGGTGTGATGTTTCCAGCCTTGACTTTAACGGATCTTTCCACCACGGATACATTCCAGCTTAATGGCCTCCTTGGGGGACGGGAGGAGTCAAAAGCAAGCTGTTATACTACACTTGGAAATGCCCTTCTTTCAAGAAAATCTTCATCTTGGGATCTTTAAGAAGCCAACACTTTTAGTTTGCCCTTTCAGTGGCCTTCAGAATGGCCGGGTCCCGGGAGACCCCTTTCTCCAGGCACCTGGCGGGAGCCAGCCAGAGGAAAATCTTTCACCCTTGCAGGAGAAACACTGTGGTCCACGTTTGTACCAGGCTAAGGAATCTCTGTCTTTGCTAGAGTGGTAGCACTATTATAGGATACCATGA